TCGCTTCTCGGCCTTTTGGCTAAGATCATGTGTAGTATCTGTTCTTTTCAGCTTAATATCTGAAATGCTGCTCATTGAGTAGCTTCTATATTAAACTGATTTTTTAAATTAGGCCATGGAGTAGGAGCTTGCTCCGTCCTGGCCACGGGTTGGCCTGGTATTGCAGTACCTCCAGGATCGGCCCATCCTCTTCACTGAGGGAAATATTAAAAGAAAATCAGAATCGACATATTACTAATTTCCATAATAATGATACTTGTCAAAAGTCTGTGTTCTGTCGTTTTAAACATTAAGCTACTGTTATAGATTCCTGAAGATGAACTACCAGTGTCTGTTATATACTGTTATACATTACTCATTTTATATTTTACTCATTAACAAGTTAAAAGTTTGAGTGATATAAAGACCATATTATCTATATCAGTTGTACATGCATTGAACAGATTCCACATATTACTAAATTTATATAATAATGATACTTATCTCGATGATGGAGAATTTACATTTACATTACCTAATTAATTTACAAATGAACAAGTTAAAAGTTTGAGTGATATAAAGACCAGGTTATCTATATAAGTTGTACAGTGCATTGAACCTTCCTTACTCGAATCTGTTTATAACAAAATGAAATGGAAATATAAAAATATAAACAGATTCCACATTTATTACTAAATTTACATAATAATGATACTTACTCGATGATGAAGAGTTTGCTTTTCTCGTTTTAAACACAAACTATACATTATTATATTATACATTACTTAATTAATTTAAAAGTAAACAAGTTAGAAGTTTGAGTAATATAAACACCAGGTTATCTATACCAGGTGTACAATCTACTGATCCCCTTTCACTGGAATCTGTTTACAACAAAATGAATAACAACTGTCTGTGTTTGCTTTTAGAATTTATAGGCTTTTGTTACTGATTGTGTCCATTTATTCACATGCAAATTACTAAATCAGCGTATGCCAAAATTTTGTTAATGTTTTACAAAAATACATTGTCTACAATTGAGGTTTTTTTCTGTACATTAACATATATTTTAAGTTATATATAATATATAAATATTTNNTGTCATTGCTCTGATCATGATTGGGCCTGTCTCTTATACACATCTAGATGTGTATAAGAGACATAAGTTGTACAGTGCATTGAACCTTCCTTACTCGAATCTGTTTATAACAAAATGAAATGGAAATATAAAAATATAAACAGATTCCACATATTACTAAATTTACATAATAATGATACTTATCTCGATAATGAAGAGTTTGCTTTTCTCGTTTTAAACACAAACTATACATTATTATATTATATATTACTTAATTAATTTAAAAGTAAACAAGTTAGAAGTTTGAGTAATATAAACACCAGGTTATCTATACCAGGT